GGCACTCAGACGGGGGCACTTGAGAGTGGGAAAGTTGGAAGTGGAATTGAATTTTGCTTTTATTCCTCGTGTTAATCATAATTTAACAAGCACATTTTGAGGATTTAATTTTGACACAAGCTGACAGAAAGAATAAAAACGTCTCCATGAAGTGATTTAAATCTGTTGAAGTGGCTTTCAGAAAAGCTTCTGAACAAATGCAAGTCAAGCTCTTTGGTGTCATATTAAGTTTTAAATGTGAAATTGTCGGGTTGTGTATCCGTTTGCCCCCCAGCTAAGCTCCTGGAAAAAAAAAAAGGATGAATGAAATACTGAAGGGGTGTCGAGGTTTTGGGGGGGGGGGGGAGGGTACAAGAAGGCGGAGGGACATTCTTTACAGGCCCCCCATAATCACTATTTGTGTTTGGCTTGCATTGCCCCACTTGCAGTGTGTGTGTGTGTGTGTGTGTGTGTGTGTGTGTGTGTGTGTGTGGGTAAAGGGGTTCACTCGCCGAGCCGCTGTAGTTTGATTTCTTTCACTCGTCTGAGGACAAAGCGAGGAGTTTAAGAGTTTTAGTGAAAAGCAGTTTGACGCCTGAATGTCTGATATGTTCCTGCATGCTGGGTGCATTTTAATGTTTCCAATTGTTTACATTTCAAATTAAAACTCTGAAGTATTTTTTTTAAATTATGCTAAATTATTATTAACCTGTAAAAAACTGACCTGATATGCTTTCTTCAAAGAGTTGTTTGTTTTTGGGTTTTTATTTAGAGACAGAGTTAGAGTTCAGAGAGAGAGCGTGGGGAACGACATGCAGGGAAGGAGCCACAGGTCGGATTTGAACCCGGGCCGCCCGCTTGGAGGACTATGGGCGTACGTGTAGCTCGCACAATGGTTGTAGTACTCAAAAACGGTCTTGGAATCTAAAGCATCCTCACTCGATCTGGTCTCGGTCTCAGACTGGGAGGACTCCGGCTTTAACATCAAGACCACCACTGAGAGGCTATTTCTCCACAAAGAAAAACGCCTCTTTTTTTTATGATTTTTATCCCCTGGTTACGTCCACAACCTTCCCGCTGTAACGGCCTCCTGCACACTGGATGATGATTTCTCAGTGATATTTACGGTCCTGGTCTCGTCCTGCCTTGGTCTTGGTCTTAATCATGGTCTGGGTTACACTAACCAATAGGCTACCAGCGCCCCTCAGCAGCTGTTTTAAAGCTGTCATGTCGTCTCATCTCTTTTGTCTTTTGAGTAACATACAGAATATGATTTAAAATATTTGAGTTGCTTTTGACTTTTTAGGGGTAAAATAGAAAATTAACTTCATTTTAGTCTTGATTTTGACTGAAACGCGTCACTTAGACTAACTTTTATAAAACAGTAAAGGGACCTGAGGGACCCTGAACCCTCCCTAATGTATTCATACACCTGAATGATAACGATAATAACACAGTGTGGAAAAAGTGACTTCAAAAGCCTCTCTCTGTCATTTTCCTGTCTTTCCGGAAAAAAAAACACAAAAATCTATTTTGGCCGTCTTTGCTATCGCTCCCATGCCACCAAATCTACGTCAGTGACCTGCGTTTAAAACCCACAGCTGAGTACCACACATTGTTCTTTTCTTGTGGGGTTTGACCTTAAAATGTGTCAGAATTTAAGATTGAATTCCTCTCTTTTACATCTCCGATTCATGGAGCTTTCAGTTGTAATGGTTTAGTTAACGGAGATTAGAGACTGAAACTGAGGCTGATCATTTGGCTTTCCTCCAGGTGATGACTATCAGGTTCAAGTCTAGAGGTCAAACACACACACACACACACACACACAGATACAGTAGAGTCAGAGAGGGCAGCACATGTCTGGCAGTGATCCAGAGTTTGGGATGACTGCCTGACACACTGAACGGACAGCTGGCTGAAACACACACACACACACACACACACACACACACACACACTCCCCTTCCGTCTCTGCGGCAGTAGAAGCTGATTATAGTGCAGTTGCTGTTTTTGGTGAAATTACAGGCTGCTCGACTCGACTGGAAGCTGTGTGGTCAGTTTAAGTTTATTAAAGTGGAGCTGCATTAGTGCCCGTCTTTTAGACTCTTTCCTCATTCCTTTCTCACAACCTCACAATGATCCTTTTTTTCTAATGTATGTAAAGGTGATTCCCATAGTTTTAAACCTGTACCCTATTTTTTTATATATATATATTTGGGGTAAATGGTAAATGGACTTGAGCTTGGGTTAAGTTTCTTGCACACATCGGACAAGTTGCTGCAGGAGCCACAGTATTTTTTAGTCCTGGATCACAGGAGGTGGTTGTCTACCTCTCTGACTTGTGTTGTGTTTTTGTGTATCTTTTGTGTTTAAAGGTTAGTTCAGATCCAACACCAATATCCTGTCACACACACAAACACAAAAGATGTTCAGGTCTGTGTGACGGAAAACCAGCATCAGCAATGACTGTTTTAGTTAATGGAGTTTGGAGGGGCGATGTAACAGATGTTTCTGGTCTGTGACAAAAAGGTCAACTCTGCAGGGATCCTTTCTGTAATGCTGTAAGACACTTCAATTTCTCCCTTTAATTTTTCTCTCAAAGACTTCCTCTTTTGGCCCACGGTGTTTCTGTGGACAGAAGCTGCACGGCTCCCGACTCATCTTCATGTAATCATGTCATATCTGCAGCCATGCCTGCAGCCTGACTGTCTTTACTACCCTGTTTGTGTTTGTGAAGATTCCTGAAGTCTGACCACAGCTACATGCAGTGAGTGTTTCCTAATGATGGGACCCTTAACATCCTGTAAACAGCTGCCTCTTACTGCTCTGAGGAGGACTGCAGCATGAGACCTGCAGCATGTGCTGTGAGTCACCGTCTAGCCAATGGTATGCTTAATACATGCTGTGAAGCTTCACCGAGGATCTAAGCTCTTAATCTGTCCGGTTTCTACATCGTATGGAGCTGAGCAGTGTCCTTATAGCTGCAGCTTTCAGCTCTGTATGACCAATAATACAAATCATTAAGCATGCTTTAATGTGCTGCCTTGTATTTTAAACTGCAAGTAAAAGAATATATAACATATTCTTGTGGTAGAGGAAGTAAAATAGTCTCATCATAACCCCCTGATGACCTCTTGCTTCGTCACTCTTAAACCTTTAATTGATCAGTTTATTCTTGATCATTTTAAAACGGGCATCGAGCTTCAGTCTGCTCCCGATCGTGCATCTTGAAGGCCAGCCAGTCGAGCTGCTCCTGCGGGGGGATTTTTGGCGCCTGGCTCTTCTCTGAAGTATGAACAGTTTGCTTGCTTTGCACTTAGACGCTAATGAATTCGTCTTCGTCAGTTCCAGCTCGTCCATACTGCTCGAAAAAACCTCGCCACACTCCCCTCGCACCGGCCTCCGTGCCAGCCTTTGTCTATATATGCACACACACACACACACACACACACACACACACACACACACACACACACACAGGGACACACACACACAGGGACACACACACACACACAGGGACACAGTGATGCTCCTTTACACACGCTGAAGTAGTGTGAAATCTCAGTGTTTACATATGCATCCTTGTGTTTGGCATGCAGGGGTCACACATGGCAACAAAACGAGGAGGGGGAGGAGGGGAGGAGGGGGGAGAAAGCGTTTCTCTCCATATTTCTCTGTCTCTACATGTCTCGGATGCTCGATGAGATTATTGTAATCCAGCTTGGCCAGAGAGACGAGGAAAATCCAAATGCTGTTTACCATCCCTGTAACACCTTCTCCTCTTTTTACAGTCTTCTTTTAAAACCTTTTTTTTGTTTTTTACATATGTTTGTGTTGTCTCAAATGGTTTCAAGTAAATCGTTTCAGCTAAATGGGTTTCAGATTATTAACGTCAACATGTCTGCAAAGGATTCCTGCAAAGATAGACCTTTATGTTGAAGACTAGGGTTCATTTATAAACAACAAACAGCTGTTACATCGCTCTCTTTTCGACGCCACCAAACCCCTTAGACAAAATCAGTAATTTCACCGTGCAGGACTGAGAGTTATGCATCTGCTGCAGCCGCTTTCAGTTAGTTAGTGTGTGTTATTGTCTGGCTTTGTCGTTTTAATCTCTCTCTCTCTCTCTCTATCTGTCATTTTCTTGTCTTTCTGGAAAAAACACACAAATCCATTTTGGCCGTCTTTGCCCTCACTCCCATGCCACCAAAGCGTGTTTAACACCCACAGCTGAAGGTTTCTCATCACCATTTCTTGTGCGGTTATAATTCAGAGAAAATACAAAAAGAAACTTTAAAAAACATGGCCGCAGTAAAACGACCAACAACTCCAGAGTTCAGTGACGTAAAATTAAGTTATGTGAAGCCACTTTCTCTGTAATGTTGTCAGACACTTATATAATAACTTTAATAACTTACTCATAATAATCTGAGTCTGTCAGTGACAAGAAGAAATCTTAGTGGATGATTATGCACATTTGGAATAATGTGGTGCGGGCGTTACAGCCCGTCTTGCTGCTGTAGGCTGAAGCAATCAACCAGAGCAACTGCAGAACTTTTTGTATTTAGACCCCAAAAAAAGTCAAACTGGAGCCATGATTGAAATCTGCCCGGATTATTTTTAATGCTACGTTATATTAGCCTGCTAGGGTTACATTAATCTGTAATTAAAATGTCAGCTGTTGGGTTTTAAAGTCCAAAGTGGGTCACAGTGGATCCTTGGCTCCATATCAGAAATTAAAATCATCCTCAGCGCCTCACACAGCCGGATTCTTCTCTTCTTTGTTTCTGTCTTCTGATTCAACGGTTACCCCGCAGAATAAACGGCATATTAACATTTCTATTCACAGCTTCCACCGCTCGCTGCAGTCAGCGGTCTTTAACGGCCAAGAGCTGAGAACCTCCGACTCTTCACAGGGTGATCATCAGAGAAAGGGATGTTTGTTGGTGTTTTTTTTTTTTGAGACATGAATATGGAATAAAAATGTCCTTCTCTCTCTCTCTGTGTGTTTTCCTCAGATGACATCGTGCACAGGGAGGATCCTCCTCTGTTTGCAGCAGAAATCGGCTCCGAGCTGCAGAAACAGTTTGCCATCCTGCCAGGTGGGTCTGATTTCTATCTCACACACACACACACACACACACACACACACGCCATGTGGGTCAGTCCATAAACAAGGGGTTAGAGTCAGCAAGTCCAAAAATAACTCTCTGTGTGTCCTCCCGTCATTTTAAGTAAAAACTGTTAGAGCCTCAAGTCAAACAAATCTTTTTAAATCAGAAGACGGGACGATGTGATGCCGTTGATTTTTTGTGTTAGACTCAGAATAAAGTTAGAGAGTTCAGGATGAAGAAGTAACCCTAAGACCTAAGGGATGCTGGTGCATATTGAAATAATGTTCTCAGTCTATTAAATCTCAGAAAATGCTTAAAAAAAGAAAAAAAAAGTCACCTAACTGTTTTATTTTAGAAGCCCTTGGGGTGTTGTGTTGTGTCACCATGACGACAGCGCCTGCCCTTTATGTAAATAATTCACCACCATGATGATTTGCTCTGCAACCTGAACCACTGATGAAAGCCAAGGCCGCGGGCGTGTGTGTGTGTGTGTGTGTGTGTGTGATTCCTTGTAACTGTTTGTGTGTGTGCATTTTAATTTGAAAGGTGTTGAAAGACTTTTTTTGACTTTGTACGCAATTTCAGATTAAAGCTACAAGAAGGGGTCAAACACTTAAACACACAAGTTTAAAAGATTTCTTCGTCGTGCATCTGTCGCTCTAAAGTCGTTTTCCCTCCAACTTTCACATCAAACAAATGAAGAAACAAAAGACCAACATGCCTCAACTTGAAATGTACCGTCTCTCTGACCTCTCTCGCGTCTCCAGGCGGCCGCGGGATGAACGGCAGCCCCGTCATGGTCTTCCCAGAGTTCCCAGCTTTCAGCGAGCTGGAGGAGGAGGAGATGCAGAAGGTCTTCAGCTACCTCACTCGTGTCCCCAGGTTAGCATTGCATACACACACACACATATGCACACACACACTGCACACACATACACAAAGATGCCCCTCTTTTGTGCAGCTCCATTTGGTTTTGACAACAAACAAACAAAGTGTGAAGGAGATCTGGCCAATTTTGTGAAAGTGCAATACCACATACAGCCACCAGATGTCAGTGCAGTACCAAAACCGTGACACAAGGGGACCAACATAAAGATTTTTTTAAAGCTATAAATAATGAAAAATAAAGTATTCAAATTTGTAAAGATGAACTAAAATGTTTTTTTTTTATTTCTTGTCTTTTAATCAGATTATTTTATCTAAAAATTAATAGATTTTGCATTTTTTTCAACTTAACCTTGCAAGAACAATTTAGATATTGCTTGAGGTTAAATTAAAAAATTGTATATTTTACTGTAAAATTGAAATTAAATCATATCATACACCTCTTTCTTCCCGCCTCTCTCCTACTCCTCCTTCTCTCCTTATTCCTCCTCCCTCTCTCCTCCCATCCTCCAACAAAAACATAATTAAGGGGAGGAGAAAGGATGAAGATGCGCCTCTTATTTCTTAATATCTTCTTGTATGTGTGTGTCATGGCCGCCTCTTTTTTTTTTTCTATGGCTCATCACCTTTCATATCCCCCCTCCTTCCTTGAGTCCCCTCCCTTTCTCCCCCACCAGCTATATGCACCCGGCTGCCAATCGGGTTGCACTCTAAGCTCTGATTGGCTGCCCGGAAACAGCAAGATGCAGGGCTTGGCTGTGATTGGTCGAGGGCAGGGAAGCAGGTGGTGCAGCAGGAGAGGAGGAGAGGAGGAGGAGGGAGATGCTCTTTAAGGATGAGATCGGTCACCTCTTTCCGTCTGCGAGCCGCAAACATGATTGTGATGAAAGAAATGGACACTGACAACAACAGAGAGAGGAACATTTGAGGAGGAATGGATTATTTCTGGACGATAGCAGCAGTATTTTAAAGGATTATTGTTGCTTTTTTTTGTCCTGGAAGAGCAAAGATTTTGCTTAAAAAATCAGCCGGCTTCATTTGTGTGGTGTGAATATTTTGTCCGGTAAAGGATGGATTGAGGATTTTCTGTTGCAGCGTTCACTGGGTAGCGTTCATTTTTGAAATATTGATGTGTTTTGATCAAAATGTGCAGGTTTAAGCTGTGTGTGCATGCTGGCACAAAGCGTCTGTGAGTGTATTCACCCGTTTTCTGTGTGTCTTTAGGTGTCAGGATGTTCTGCAGGACACTTACTGCAAATACTGCATCCACACACACACACATACACACACACGTAATGCTGACACACACACACACACACACACACAACATTAGCTTAATGAGGCTGCTACATATGGTCCTGCCTGTGGAATGAATGGAAAGATTTTCACACACACACCAACATAAAAGCAGAGCCAAGGTTTCCATGGTAATCACAAGGGTCTCGCTCTAATCATCAGTGATGACAAATGATGGCACACACACACACACACACACACACACTTATTTGTGTATTTCTTCATATTGTTTTTTTCCTGCTGTGGAGACCAATTAAGACATCTTAAGTTCTTTAATGTCTATGATTATTTAATTATTATTATTATGTGGTTATGACTTGACGTGACGTGTAACCCTAACTATCACGTATCAGCAGGTCTTGGTTTATGCCGGAAAAACAATTTGAATGGCGAGCAAAAGCAGACCGAACACAATCCTCCCATCAGCTTTCATTTGACGACAATTTATTAATAGATCATTTATTATTAGGTAAAAAAAAAAAGATTTACGCTTGGGCAACATATCTGCTTGATGGTAGGAAGTCAGCGAGAGAGAGAGAGTAGGGAATGACATGGGGAAAGGAGCCACAGGTCGGATTTGAACCGGGCCTACAGGACGACAGCGCTCCAAATCCTGCCAAGTTTAAGCTTATTTTATCTCTATTAACGGACATGTAGAATACAGATAAATGATCTTCTTTGAATCGTGGATTTTTCAGGAGATGGAAGTCCAAATATAAACAAGCGGTCAGCGGGTGGTGGAAGAAGTCTTGGTCTGGATATTTGTTGTCAGTTACTCTCTCCAAACCTCAAAAAAAAAGTGGGCCAAGCCAAATTGACATGTGGCAAAACAGTGTGATAACAAATACTGGGTCATGGAGCAATGCACTCTGGAAGACGTTTCCCATCTGTCATTAAACGAGACGTCTGTAAATGTTCCTCTGTGATTATGTAAGGTGCATTAACGTTCCCTGAAGGACACTTTTGTGGGCTGAAGATTGGTAAAGTGTGATAACAGTGCATGCTTCTCCCTGCAGCGTTGCAGCCTCAGGAGAGGGTTTCATCCTGGTCATCGACAGACGACTGGACCGATGGGCTGCTGTCAGGGCTACCCTGCTCCGCATCGCTGTAAGTCCCTCTGTGTGTCTGTGTGTGTGTGTGCATTTTGTCACTCTTGGAAGTGTGAGGTTAGTTGCTTTCTTTGGGATACTTGCAGCATCTTTGTCCAGTTAAAGTTCCTGTTTTTTTTTTTTTTTAAATGAGCAGACTCAGATGCAGCTGCCACACTCCATGAATGAAAACGGTCATTTTTAGTTTGCAGCACACTGGAGTTGATGTTCTACTTTATCCAAAATCAGATCGTTTGTTTGTGTAATCGTCTCACTCTGCTTTTTTAAATCGGCTCCTTTGGATGCTTAGACTTTTGTCTTAACATAAAAAACATCAGTAAAGGACCAGTGTTCTGCAAGGTAAGAAAGCTGATTTTGTTGATGACGTTTGGCAGCTTTTTGGTTGAAGAGTCTAACCGTGAGTTGTAGGGATCCTTTCTGTACTGTTATATCAATTATGCTGATTTGCCTTGAAAATCATTTGTTGCAAACAGGCAGCAAAACACTCTCAGATTACAACCAGCAACTCATGTCTTCTGCCAGTTCAAATGACTGTTTTAGTCAATGGAGTGTGGAGGCCTTTAGTGATGTAACATCTGGTTCAACAAATCATCTTCCTCCTCTGTAACAAAAAGGTCCATCTCTGCAGGGATCCTTTCTGTGTCACAACAACTTTTAGTGGATGTTTTTTGCTTTGGTGTTTTTTGCAACAAAAGGTTTGCGTTGCAGCAGTTGCAGCCTGGTCTGAAGCATTTCTGTTGTGAGCTGATGAAGCGCCTCCTACGTCAACTAAATATCTGTTTTGGTGTGTGAGGGTGACTCTACATGTGTTTAACATGGATCTGTGGGTGTAGTTGCTGCTGTCAGCTGTGTGTGTGTGTGTGTGTGTATAATTTGGAGTGTCACCACTTAAAGTAATACTTGTTTTGGTGTTTGGTGTGTGTTTGCAGGCTTGCAGAAGCTGTACATTACGTGCATGTGTTCTGGTTTAGTTAGTCATCAGCAGTGTGTGGGACGGGCTGAAATGAGGTGACTGTGTTTGGTTGAATCGAGGCAGGAGGGGAGTTAAAAATATCGTCTCACGGCGGTGTGGGCGTCGGAGTCTCTCAGCTGTCATGTTGCAGAGAGGAAATCCAAACGAGTGCGAGTTTCATTGTGTAATTGTGTTTCTGTATCCGTGTGCCATTAGCCCAGTAGCCTACTTCTCGCCTCTCTGAGAGGTTTAAGACGTTGAAGAGGAAGCAGGAGACCGATGGTAGAAAGAGAAGGGAGCCGGGGGAATGAAGGGAATGATGAGATGAGAAAAGTAAGAAAAAGAATCAGCAGGGAGGCAGAGGAGGAGAGGTCTTACATCACACAGACTTGTGGATCAAAGTTACTGATCACTGCTCTCTTAATATCAAAAAAAAAAAGGGGAAATAGAAGACGGCTCTATCTGGAAAAAGTGTGGGTTTAGAGTCTTGACTGCTCCCTTTGATAAATATTTCAGTTTAGATGATTCCAAGGGAAAGGAAGTATTTTCCATCCAATATCCGCAGAGTGAAAGAGAGACACAACTGAAAGGTAAAAGTTTGCACCAAGGTGAGGCTGAAAACTCTCTTCTGATTTCCAGAAGTATTTCCATCAAAACTGTGTCTCCTCTGTTGTACAGTAATGCCCTGGCTTTGTTCTTTACATTTACTCGAGTAGTGATATTTTATAGCAGCGGTGGTCATAATAAATCTGGATAATAGTATTCATTTTTCTTTGCATAAGAACCTGATGTGACGGCAAGGTATTTGTTAAATCTTAAGAGAAGCTTGGGTTGGATTTCGATCTCGTAAAAGCTTTTCTACATGTATGGTCTTGTGTTTTTGTCTTTATTGAGTCTCCACATCAGCGGGGTTAATTCCCTCGGAGGTGTCCATTATTAGGAACTTACCGACCATTGTCTTTTTCTCAGCTCTGCAGACGTGATGATAAGACTTCACCGAACGGCTGCACAGCTGCTGTAAAGATTCTCATTACCATACGTATGCTAATGCATGCTAATTGCCCGCTGATTGTCATCAAACCTGATGGACTTTCTTTGTCATCTCACAGAAAGTATCCCCACTGTGACAATAACTTGTTATGAAGCTTTGAATTCCAGCGAGTCTCTTTAAACCTGTGCAGACAAACTGCAGCGTGCTCCATGTGCCATGCAAACATTCAGGAAACAAATCAAATCAAGAGAACATTTCTGCATTTTTCTATCAAACTATTGATGTTAAAAAAAAAGTCCCTAAAAGAGCATGTTAACTAGTAAGCCACTCGTGTTGATTTAATGCTCACCTTTTAGTGTTAATCTGTCTTTTCTCATACATTGTGTAACAGACTTCCATCAGGAGAGCAGGGCATCTTAAATAGGAAGTGGCTACAAGCCTGCAACCAATCAGCCAATCAACAACTCAGACCTTTCCTCTCCTACACACCTATCAGCTAATATTGTCCTGTAGTGTTTATTTTTTTTTGCCTTAGATGGATATATCTGCTCTTTGCCTTTGCTTACCCCGACAAAAATTGAACTCAGGACGGACAAAAAAGAATAATGCTTCAGCTACAGTCGGGTATAATGAGTCTCACACCCTCTCAGGAGAAACCCTGTTACAAAGAGAGGGAGGTGGGAGGAAATCAGCAGGGTGTCCCACCCTCCTTTCACCTCTCCTCCGTCTGCTTCTCTGTCCATTACCTCTCCTTTCTGCTCTGCTTTGTATTTCTTTGTTTCCAGGGATACTTTTTTCTTTTGTCTTGGAGTACATCACAATGGAAGGTCAACGTAAAACAACGGGCAACGCTGCAGATTTATTTCTATCCTGTTGTTCTTTGTTGAAACGTCTGTTTGCTGTTCTTACTGTCATTTAATTTCTCTTTAAGATCTGTTGATCATGAGAGGACCTGAGAGGATCAGGGGCTTTTTTGTGAAGTGAAAAGGAAGCAGCACTTGACATTTTTTTTGGAGAAGAAGAAACAGTCCAAAATACTCTTAACGAGGAACTGTGAAATCAAAGAGAGAAAGCAAGTGAGGGATAATGAGCAGAGAGCGGTGATTATTACAGACATGAACGCTGAGTGGGTGATGATGCTTATTATGCATAATATACATCTTATTGCATAAAGAACACAGTACATTCTTAGACTTTTCCTTAAATAGAACCATATGCAGCCTCGACCCTTTGCTGCATGTCGTCCCCTTCTCTCTCCTGCCAACACTTCCTGTCTCACTTCAGCCGTCCTTATCTAACAAAGGCAAAGATTGCTCCTCTAAAGCGTGAGTTGATGTTGTATTTGCACTAAATAGAGCGCCACTCCTTCTTCAGTTGTGTGCAGAGCTTAGACTGACAATGCAGTCATTCTGATCCCAGAATAAGCAGATTACAGCGACATCTTGCTTACTGTGATCAAAAACACTTTGCAGCTGTATGAATCAGAACGTTCAGGTGACTAAAGAGCTTTTTTTAAACTCTCAGTGTATCAGTGTTAAATCCTGTAGGAGGAGGAGGAGGAGGATACAGAAATGTGTCCGTGTGGTGCACTTAAACTTCACCTGGAGGCAGGAGCAGGTGGTGAGAGCGGCGTCCCTCCTCCTCCTCCTCGGCCCCCTCGGCTTTATGTTTCATGGTCGACCCGTCTTCTCGGGCATCGGCGTCGTTGTCCAATCCCGCGCAGGTTTACCGACGGTCGTTCGTCTTCCCGTGAGACGCCCGGCTCGTGAAGGCCGTTCAAGGTCGCCTGCTGCCATTTGCTGATTCCACGCTGTAAGAGGGAGAAGGAAAAAAAAGAAGAGGAGCGGGCAGCATTGTCATGTAGAGGCAGAGATTAAAGAAGAGCACATGTACGGACACAGATGGAGGCGGACATTTGACCTCTTGTTGAGACTTGTTGTGAAATATGCAACAAGAAGGGATAATGAGATATTCTTGTGTTTCTTTCATGCTATGCGCCATGCTCGATTTGTTCTAAATGTTGTTGTTTTTTACGATAAAAAATGCAGCTCACCGTAAAAAACAACAACAACCAAATACCAAATACAGAATCTTTAGGGGGGTTAGGTTTCTGTATACTGCAGTAGACACCCTGTATCCACAGACCAGTGCCAGACCAGTATGGGGGCCCCTGAGGACTCACAGACTTCCAACCTCAAATTTGTGCACATTAGGCAACAACAGTAGGAAACCTCCTTAAGGGGGCCCCATCTGACAGCAAGTGTTGCATGCATTATTTTTCTAAGTTTGTTCATGAAAGATGAAGAGGAACGATCAGTCTGAAGAGGAGTAAGCGTCTGGACGGTGGCAGACATGACGGTGATGAAGACTGGTTGGAGGGGCCCCGAGAGACTCCAGAATCACCACTGTTTGTATTTCTATCATCAGCATCCTGATAAGTGATTCAGCCCCAAAGACTAATTAACATTGCTCTGTAAAAAGTTGGAGCGAGACTTAGAGAGACTTAAATGAATCTCAGTCCTTTCTCTGCAACTTTATATTTTAGATGTAATGTCTTCAAAACATAACCGTTAAAAAGCTCCTTGTAAAACTTAAAGCTCCTGTGAGGTGTTTTCAGCTGGTTATGAAACAGACTGAGATGAGCAGTGTCCTTTGTTTCATTTCTCGCCATGCTACCTTTTTGTCACTCCTGCAAATCTGACCAACTCAGTGTAAAGTTCCTGTTTTTCTCAGGGAAATGATCGCTACTCTTAAGACTTAAACGTGCAGGCTCCCCTGTAACCTTCCACATTACAATCCAACCTCGCTCTACTGTCAGAATAGCAGAATTTCAGGAGGGTGAAGGGGGTGAATCCTCATGCTTTGTATCTGTTGCAGCCCGGGTTAGTGATTTATGATAAACATGTAGCCGTTCAGGCATTAAAGGCTGCAGGGTCAAAGCAAACTAACAGCTTAAAAAGGCAGAAACACTCCTCTTGTGTGTGTCTTTGTCAGAACTGGGACACATTTCATGTCCAGAAGCGAAACAGGAGGGTTGTATCCAGAGGCGGTTTGAGCGTTTTGAGGGCGGTCCCAGGGGAGCCACATGGACGTCATTAAAGGACACGAGTGGAGAGAGAGAGAGAATATAAATCACCCTGGTCAACAGAAAATCACATCCTAATCCTTATCATTTATTTATGTCTGCTTTTTTTAGAAGTGTGTGTGTGTGTGTGTGTGCTTCTCTTTCATGTTTGTCCAGGGATGTGTATGCGCATTAGCATGTCATCTGTCGGGGGATGCAGGGAGCAGATTGTGTATTGTCATGTTAATGTGGAGGTACAAATTAAACCAGGACCTCTCAGGGTTTATTGAATTTAATGGGTTGTAATCACAGATTTATTGCATTTATAATTATTCTCCAGTTTCTCCAGTTTTATCATGTCAGCTGAGGAGTCTTCTTAAAGCCGCCGTCGGTTTTGTTAGAAATTGGAAACGAGCTGAACGAGCGGTGAATTTTCCCGACCTGGCTCTCTTTCATCCACATCACAGCAGGTGGAGGGTATGCATATGTGAGTGTGTGTGTGTGTGTGTGTGTGTGAGAGCCAAAAATAAATGGCAAGAAGAGACGAGTGAAGCTGCAGAAGCATCGGCACTTTTAGAAAAAAAAACAACCTCTTTAGTTTGTCTCACACACTCTGTGTCTGTATCATCGCTCTCTCTTGCATGACGTTATGCACACTCTCTCTCTCTCTCTCTCTCTCTCTCTCTCCATGCAGTTTTTTTTCCAAGGAGAATGGTTTCCATGGCGACCCAGTGCAGGCATTTCATGACTGATGTATGTGTGTGTGCAGCGCTGTGTGAGTGCAGATTAAATTCCAGCCATGTAGAGAATTTTTATGATTTTTTTTAAAAGCATTTGTTTTGTTTCTCTTTTTATGGGATGTTTCTGATGCATTTCAGCTTTTTTTTATAACAATGATGGATGCAGCCAGAGGCCATTTTGTAGAGATTGAGGACACCAGTTAGCCCAGTGGTGTGGGAAATGGACTTGAGCTTGTTTAGATCAATCAGAGTCCATCAGAAGTAACTCATCCATTCATACACATTCATATGAAGCAGCGGGAGCAACTTGGGGTGAAGTGTCTTGCCCAAGGACACATCGTACATGTTGCTGCAGGAGCTGGGGATCGAACCGCCGACCCTCAGGTTGAGAGACGACCGACTCTACCACTGAGCCACATATCTTGAATATTTTTTACGTTTTCTATCAGACTCTTCAGACTTTATTTACGGCAACACTAAAGATTTCATGGGCTTGTCACACATCTCTGAGCATACCCCTGCTCCTGTGTGTGTGTGTGTGTGTGTGTGTGTGTGTGTGTGTGTGTGTGTGTGTGTGTGTGTACATGTCGGCCTGCATTGATGTATGATGCCTAACAGGGTGGAGCAATCCACCCAGGGTTTTAGAGGAAGCTATAACCAATATATCCTTTCATCTGAGTGGCCTCCTGGGCTGGTGTCTGTGTAAAAGGCAATTCCACGGGTTAACATGCGTGTGTGTGTGGTGTGTGTGTGTGTTTGGAGGCGGAGAGTCCCAACAGTCATGTTGCTTATTTACCTTGTAGTCACAGTTGTAAAGAAGTTGCGGCAACAAGGGAGTGACTGTGAAGAAATGTGTCCGTTTAGTGGATATTAAATCCCAGAAAACCCTCTCTTCACGGTCGGTTCAGGATTGCAGCAGCGGGGCAGCTGATACACGTCTCAAAGCTTTATAGCTCTCCAGAAGGATTCACCATTCAAACTGCCACTTGTTGTTTTGACAGAGGAAATAATACAAGCTTGTGCTGCAGCATGGGACTGAGCCACAGCAAAGCGCAAAAAGAAAAATAGCCTTAATGTACAGTCTATGGTAAAAGAAAACATCACTTTAGCTGAAAGGGTTAAATAAAGAAACAGGGTATTGGTTAAGTATTGTCCATATGACTAAAGATTCAAAGTGTAAACAAAAGTTTTGTTTTTAGGTTTTAGCAACACGTAGGTCAGGAGTTCAGCACTCACTCTGAGTAGTTATACACACTAATATTTTTTCTCATATTTCACTGCACAGCTCCTACATTGCACATTTTGTACATTTTTTTTTTTTTTTTTTTTTTAATTTAATTTAATTTAATTTAATTTAATTTAATTTAATTTAACTTTATTTATTTTATTTTATTTTTTTTTTTTTTATATTTTACATTTTTAAATTCTATTTTATATATTGTAATATCTTCTTATTCTGTAGTATTTAAGTTGTTGCTAGTTTTGCTTTATTTCCTTGTTAATTGTTTAGCACCAATACACCAAGTCAAATTCCTTGTATGTGTAAATGTACTTGGCGACAACCCTGATTCTGATTCTGATTCTGATGGTAAGAGAGTTTGTTTTGTGCTTGTTTGACGATACATTTTGATCCTTTAATGAGGAAGAGTACCTGCATTAGATCGTCTGTGACCTTGTTTCTTTTCTCTGTGTTTTTCAGGGTTCATTTCCAGGGAACTTACACTTGGTTCTGGTGTTGCGTCCCAATACTTTGTTCCAGCGGACTCTGTCAGACTTCTTGTTCAAGTTCAACAAGGATGAGTTCAAGATGAAGGTGACGTCTGATTGTTCCTCATTTTTATTTGCTTTGATGTACTGTATTTATTTCCATCAGTGTCAGGCGTCTCAACACTCAGTTGATGATTTTATCAGGTGGTGATGCTGAGTTCAGTGACTGAGCTCCATGCTTATATCGACCCGGGACAACTGACCACAGAGTTTGGAGGCACGCAGGAGTACTGCCATGAGAGCTGGATCTCACATCGCACTGTATGTTCACGCAGAAAACTATCCATGCAAAACGTTTTATATAAATGTTCATATTCCTGCAACGTCTAGCAGTGAGCGTTGTGTATTTAATCGTACCTGAATGTCTCCTCTGCAGGCAATCGAAGCGTTCGCCCTCATGGTGAAGACGACGGCTCAGACCCTGCAGGCGTTCGGCACGGAGCTCGCAGAGACAGAATTACCGAACGACGCCGAGGCCACCACCAACCTGCTGCACACACACACGCTGAAGAAGGACACGATGAAGGTCACATATTTCACCTCTATATTTTCTGCAAAGTAGTAACACAGGTTTATCACATGTTCAATCAAATGCAGAGTCAAGACACTGACAATAGTTTTGCTCACTTTCCAGGAGGACCTGCAGGTGGCGCTGTCTCAAGGGGGACGCCTGTTGGAGTGCATAAATGAGCCTCTGCAGACAGAACCTGAGTACAGCATGACCTACGATGAACTGGAAAACTTAGCGACTGTACAGAGGTAGAGGAAGGTTTACATGCATGATGCCTTATGAGGTGATAATAGAGATAATAATTCTCCTTTTCCTCCTCAGACTTCTGGGCCAGCTGGACGAAACAGAGACGGCGTTTGACGACTTCTGGGAGCGCCACCGCACCAAGCTGGAGCAGTGTTTACAGCTCCGACATTTTGAGCAGCACTTCCGTGAAGTGAGTTGAGCCGCCGACTGGTGGGAAATGTAGTTTAAACAGATCTAATGTATGGTTATGAAGCAGTATTGATTGTGTGTGTGTGTGTGTTTGTAGGTGCGAGGCCAGCTTGACGCAACATCAGAGCGTTTGTCCGGCTTCTCAGAGGTCAGCGTTAACCCGCGCACGCCGAGCATGTCCTCCGAGAGCTCAGCGGCCATGAGAGCAAAGCCTGTGTAAGACACACACACACAAAACACACAATGACACACACACACACACACACACACGGTACAGAAAACACATACTCAACACTTTCATCTTTACAGCATCCTTGAAGCCGCATGGTTAATGACATAATCAATGTGATGCCCTTCGCTTTCCCCCACTCACAATCAGTGAACGTGGCGGAGACAGAGAGGCACAGGGAGCACACTGGAACACATTTTGCACAGTTTGCAAAATGATAAACATTTATTTTTAGTGATTTCAGCGGTGTGGGTCTGAACAGAAAAAGAAAACAAAAAAAGGTTCATGTTTCCAGATTTTTTTGCATCTTTATGAAATCTATAAATCTGTAATCCTAAAACTTAGCATCAGATAGTTTTTCTTTGTGTTTGTAACATTTAGCCTCTATACCTGTGTCAGCCTGCATGTCTAAACTTTAACACATCTACCAAGAAAAGAGTCTGAGTGAGATTGTCTTGCAGATGAAGCATCACAGGTAAACAAAGTCGATGTTTGTAGGACGTTTTAGTCATGCATCCATCAAGATAGTCGTGCAATATTTAGATGTTAAACATGGAGATTATTCTACTCTAAGACGGAAAAGGATCTGGTTTAAATCTGGACTTGAAAGCTGGAGGAGAAGGAGGGGAGGATTGATTTATCGTCAGGTTTGACTGATGATGTGTCCACTATCTGATAAGACAGTATTCTCTTTTTATCCTGATTTTAAGAACAAACACCTTCACTGTGTTCGAACAGGACATACTCGACTGCGCCCTGTCGCTGGCCAGTGAGGGCGACCTCCTGATAGAAAACTCCCACTACGCCGAGGACTCCATCAGGCCGAAGTGCAGCGAGCTGAGAGGAGTGTGTGAGGAGATCGGCTCCACTCTGAGGAGCAAGAAGAACCTCCTGCTCAGAGCCATGGAGCTCCACCAAGCTCTGGAGAAGGTACGAGGACGCTCAGTGAGAGAGAGCAACGAGACACCAGGTTTAAAAACAACACTGAATTAATTTTATTATCCTCGCAGGCGTCTCGGTGGTGTGAGGAGGGGATCTTCCTGTTGGCGAGCCAGCCGGTTGACCGCTGTCAGTCTCAGGACGGAGCTGAAGCAGCTCTGCAGGAGCTGGAGCGATACCTGGACACGGCTGCACTGCACACGCTCGCTGACTGCAGCGCCATCTGCTGCCAGTACGAGCAAGTGCTCACTCCTCAGCTCAGGGTCAGTAGGAAGTGGATTTAACAGATTCATAACATGACTTTATCTTTGCAGAAAAAGAACCATAAACAGCTGCAACATCATCGTCTTGACAGCAACCAGACTCAATTTAAAAAACAGTCTTTCTAGAGTGCAGAACACAGAGGTTGCTCAGCTGTCACTTCCTACAATTCACACATTAATAATGCAATCAAACTCACCCACTATGGAAGTGTTAGTACACACACTCCTCATTTCTGCAAGCTTAAATTGCTGTTTTTGTGAATGGAGTTTGGTTGCTTTGAAGGGAGAAATAAAGCTTCTGTTTCCGGTTAAAACAGCGTTTAATTCTTTACCAAAAAGGTCATTTTCTGTCGAGATAATTTCAGTAATGTTGTCAGAAACTGAGAATAATAATCTGAACCTTTTAGTGGCAAAAATAAGCACTCTAGCCCAAATCTGAAAATCCTGGAATCCCCCTTAATTGAACTGTTTTTGTCTGTTTTTGCGCCACCAGGACCAGGTGGAGAGAGTTTTCCAGAAGCAAACCTCCGTCCAGGAGATGTTCGAGAAGAGACGCATCAGTCTGAAGAAACTCGCCGCCAAACAGACCAGACCAGTCCAGCCAGTGGCCCCCAGACCTGAAGTCAAGTCTCCTCTCTCCTCTCCCAGTAAGACACTGATTTCATAAAACCCAGCGGCATTTTCCACCTTCAGAGGACTCTTTCTAAACTCGTTGATTGTATAAAAGTCTAAAAATATGACATTGTGTGTCTCAGATCAACAGAGAAAAGAGAGAAGATACTCTGCAGATAATGTCATCTGCAAAAAGGTAAATACAGGACTTCCCATTATTATGATCAGCACGTCTTCCTAGTGTTTTAAAAATCACTGAGAGGTTCAGAGATGTTTGGTTAAAGCTCAGCAGATGTAAAAAAAAAGTGATCGTGTGTTTCCAGGCGGAGTCTCCCGTGGTTAACGGCGGCACCAGACATGCGTCCCTCTCAGAAGAAGAAGAGAATCTGGCTGTGCTTCGTCGGTAAGAAGTCCACCTTAAAGCCACACATAGGAGAGCAGTAAACAGGGCAGTGTTAAAGCTTCTTCTTCTGTGTTTCAGCCACGTGATGAATGAGCTGCTGGAGACGGAGAGGGCGTACGTGGAGGAGCTGCTGTGTGTGCTGGAGGTGACTGAGTTTATTTATATTAACCTCAGCTGTATGGAAGCATCAGGGTCGCACTGTTCCCATCGTTAATCGACTCAGAAATGTACCTCTTTGTGAATCTCTGTCATGTAAAATCTGAATCTGAAACTCCAGGGCTATGCAGCAGAGATGGACAACCCGGCCATGGCGCCCCTCATCCCAAACACGCTGCTCAGCAAGAAGGACGTCCTGTTTGGAAACATGTCTGAAATCCACCAGTTTCACAAGAGGTGATCTTCTGTCACACACACACACACACACATACACACACACACACTTCACCTCGTCAGTCATCCACACTCACAAACCTTTGAAAAATGACATATCTATGAGAAAAGACTTCACATGTATTTTTGGCTGTGGGGGAAAGCACATACACAAACCACCATGTCCTGAACAGACACCTTACAAATACTAACACAAAGATTTTTTGCAAGCTAAGCATGATGGGAAATGGAGGCTGTTGCGACAATATCTTTAAACACTACAGCTACAGAAAACAGGACACGTTTCTGAGCGTACAGTGCTGCTGGAATCATCTGAAATTCTCAGGGTATAAGAGCATATTTAACTTCATGTTTGTTGTTGTCTGCAGGACGTTTCTGAAGGAGTTGGAAGCGTACACCGACTGCCCAGAACTGGTGGGCCGCTGCTTTTTAGAGAGGGTGAGCACTTAACGTCCTACTCAGGTCTCGACTGTTTACTGAGAAAGAGCCAATAAACAAATCTCACTCCTCAAGAAGTCAAAGGAGCAGCTTGTTAATGACTGATCTGTTGCTCCTGCAGATGAAGGACCTGCAGATCTACGAGGCGTACTGTCAGAACAAACCTCGCTCTGAGAGCCTGTGGAGACAATGCTCCGACTGTGCCTTCTTCCAGGTCTCACCTTTAACCTTTTATCAGCTCCTTCTTGCTTTCATGTGTTTTTAAAAGAGCTATAAGAATGAAGTCACTTGGTTTTTTCATAACCAGGAGTGCCAGAAGAAGCTGGAACATAAACTTGGTTTGGACTCCTACCTCCTCAAACCCGTCCAGAGAATCACCAAGTACCAGCTCCTGCTCAAGGTAAGACGTGTGATGAAATATTTATTCAGTACATCTCGGTGTGTTTATTTAAAACTCACCGTTTCCTCCACTTCTCCTCGTGTTCCTGCAGGAGATGTTGAAGTACAGTAAGGGCTGTGACGGCAGCGACCACCTGCAGGAAGCTCTCTCGTCCATCCTCGGGATCCTGAAAGCTGTTAATGACTCCATGCACCTCATCGCCATCACAGGATACGAGGTCAGAGGCACTATCACACTGTTTTAAATGATTTTTAGAGAAACCAAAAGGTTGTTATTTAACTGGTTGACTCTTGCAGGACATGTTTTTTGAATTAGTTTGGAAAAAGAAAGCAGATTGTTGCATTTGAATCCATTTTTCTGGGAGAATCTTTTGCAGCATCTTCAGTTTTTTTTGCAGCAATGACTATAAATCTCTGTCTCGTCTCGTTTCCAGGGTAACCTATCAGAGCTCGGTCGCCTGCTGATGCAGGGCTCCTTCAGCGTGTGGACGGAGCATAAGAAAGGGCACGCCAAGGTGAAGGACCTGGCTCGGTTTAAGCCCATGCAGAGGCACCTGTTCCTGCACCAGAAGGCCCTGCTCTTCTGCAAGAGGAGGGAGGAGAACGGGGAGGGATACGAGAAAGCTCCGTCGTACAGCTTCAAACACTCGCTCAGTGTAAGATTTTTAATGTGTATGTTTGGGTCTTAAAGATTTACAGATACCTCATCTTCTGAATTCCATTGAGCTTTGAAAACGAGCTGAGGATTCGGCTCAGATCAGAGATAGACCTTTTCATTACAGGGTTTAAAGGATGTTAGACCGCTCCCCTCAAAGCCACCAGACTCCACTGATAAAAACAGTAACTTTCCTCAGCCGAATACAGTCAGTGCTGCTCCCCTGCTTAGTTACACTCGCTGAGCCTTTAAAACAACATGGTCAAACAGAAATGCAAAAATAATCTCACCCCTAAAGATGCAGCGCTGATTCAGCGACTCCCGTTTCCTGCGAGGTAGAATGTCTGATTTTGTTACTGGATAAAGAACAAGCATCTTCACCTCAAAAAAAAAAGAATCCTCTCTCTAAAGCCGTGATAATCAATCTGAGACTGTCAGTGGAAAAATGGAAAAAAAGTGTTTTAGTTGCAGCCTGTTTTGTTGTGGTCCGCTGAGTGCAGAAAAACATTTCTCTTAAATACTTCTATAAATTCCTGTTTGAAGACTTTTTTTTTTTTTGGTAAAATAAGTACCGACTGTTCTTCATTCTTTTCACAGATGAGCGCGGTGGGTTTTACAGAGAACGCGAAAGGGGACAACAAGAAGTTTGAGATTTGGTGCAACTCCAGGGATGAAGTTTTTATAGTGCAGGTAAAGTCAACGCCCCTGACTACTCTTTTCCAACCACAGAAGAAGAATCCACCTACATTTTCCATTTCTGTCTCCCCTTAGGCTCCGACGCCAGAGATTAAAACAACGTGGGTGAACGAGATCCGGAAAGTTCTGACGCAGCAGCTCAAAGCCTGCAGAGGTAACACGGACACACACACACACACACACACACACACACACACACACACACACACACACACACACACACACACACACACACACACGCCTGTTTGCACTTCTTCTTCTCTGTCTTTTACACACATTATAACTGAACTGTTTGTGTTTCAGATGCCAGTCAGCAGAAGATCTCAGACTCTGTCTCTCCAAGTCCCACCAGCAACAACACCTCCATCTCCCTCAGGTTGGTGTTTCACTTCATCAGTTCATCCTTATTTAAACTCTAATAACCTTCTTCTTCTTCTCTTCAGTCCCTTTCGTAGCAACGGTCAGAAAAACCAGAAGAAGCAGGAGGAGAAGAAGGCAGAGCCGAGCACAATATCAGAAGTCAACTCATCGCCCAAACACAGAGGTAAAAGTTTGATCCAATCGAGCGACCGTCTGCAAACATCAAATGTTTCTCCGTCCTTATGGCTCTTCTTCCCTTCATCACCTTCACCTCCACGTCTCCTCCTTCTTTTCTCTTCATCGGGCTACATGTGCGCCCTCTCTCTCTCTTTTCTATTTTTCCTCCTACCTTCCATTTCAAAACCATCGTTTTCCAGATGAACCGGTGACCAGCCCGACCACCGACAGGTCCTCAGTGGCTAAAAAGCGTTTTACTTTGCAGGGCTTCAGCAATCTCAAGAGTCCCAAAGGTAACAAGGGGGTCACACGATGCTTTATCAACACGTTCTATCCAAGTTTATCTTTCTTAACTCTAGTTATAATTCACACTTTATGAGATTGTCCCGTCATTCTTTATGTGGAGTGAAATCATAAAAGGAAGACTCTCCTCGTTGCATAATGGACCTGATGGAGAAAGTAGGGCTCCGCTGCTCTGCAAGCTGTGCAGGCACACCTACACAGTCACACCTACACATTCACACACTGATGGTAGCGGCTGCTGTATAAAGAGTCCATCAGTATTAACTCATCCATTCATACACATTCACACACCGCTGACGTAGCAGTGGGAGCAACATGGGGTTGCTGCCAAAGGACACATCGGACATGTGGCTGCAGGAGCTGGGGATCAAACCCCTGACCTGCGCCACCCATGATGATTGTGCTTTAATGTTGTTCACACACTGCCCCCTGGTGGTAAAAGCTTAACATTGCAACTTGTCCTGCTGACGACGAAATCAGGATGTGACATTATTCTCAGCGTGATGATTTCCTGCTTCTTACCTTTCTTCTTCTTCTTCTTCTTCTTCTTCTTCTTCTCTTTGCGTTCCTCTCCTCTGTGTCGGGCCAGGCTCCACCCTGAGCCCCGAGCACGCCTCCAAACGCCACTTGGTCAAGAGTGACCCCACCCCGTTTGGGTTCAAAGGTAGATTGTTGTCCCGTCACATGGAGTGTTTTCATCTCATCTGTGACTCACATAGAAGCAGTAAACATTAACCCAGAGACGACTTGTTCTTCATCGTCACCCTGCTCACACAGACAATCTGCAGGTCCTGGAAGTCTTTAAATCATGACTATTAAATTATCATTATGACCTCGTTTTACATTCCCTTTGTCCTCTGTGCAGATTCACAAAAAATCTGCATCCGACCTGTAAACATTTAGACCAATGAAATGTCTTCTAAAGTCTTCTTTGATTTCCTGAAACATGCAGATGATCTGTGGAGTTTTCCACCCATTAACACGTGTGCTTACAATCATTTGTTCACAGGTCATCATCACTGAAACACTGTTATGTTTTGTGAATCTTTTAAAGTTATTGTGCATCGTTTTGGAGGAAAAGGCTCACCTGATTTCTTGCAGTGATTAGCTGTGCCTTCATGGGCAACACTTTGATGGTGTCTGAATATGAACTTTTTTATCTTCTGATCCACATCAAGGACAAAATCATCTCACATGTTCTCTGAAAACGTCCTTTAAACGAGCGATAAGCTAACCCAGCTAACACCTGTCTGACTGATTGGCCGGCTGTTTGTCTCCATGCAGAGTCGGCTCCTCATGTCAGCCTGAGCAAAGTGAAATGGATGAGTACTTCTAGTCTGTTACAGAGCAGGCGGCGAGGTACACAGCCGCTCTGACGACGAGCCACTGATAGATGTTTGCTGTGGTTTGTGGTGGTCATGAGTGATTTATCCTCGAGGTAAAGTTTAGTCAAATGTGAGCTAGAGGGCATGATCTCAAATCAGTCATTCCCTTTTCTTCTACATTGGGTGATTCTGATTGTGTGGCGTTGGGAATAATAAGAGAAAAGTATTTTCCTGACTGGCCGTCGTATCGGCCTCGAGTACATCGAGATGATTCAGAACTCTTCGATGGTTGTTTTCGGGGATCTGTGTGCTGTCTGCGTTGATTTTCTCTGGGATTTTTGGAGGAGTCTGGTTCGACTTGTGTGTGTGTTAATCATAGACTGTATACAGGAAGTGGATGTAGCTACTGCAACACTGTGCTTTGGTTTGGAGGCCGCTATTTAAAGCCCCAAATTTTGCATATTGACCATTTCCACCCTGGTCTTGGTGGAGAGAGAATTGAACATATTTGGACGAGAAGCTGCAGAGAAAATAAGCTTTCAGGATGCTGATTGTACTGACCAGAAATAAGAATTTAAACGAGAACAGAAAGCTCCAAAAGTCTGTCTTTGGACCCCCACAACTAATTCATAAGACAGGCACGTTGAGGAGGAGTGAATCCATCAAAAGCAGGGAAACTCCTGCACTCTGCACAAATTGAACAAAACATTGCCAATCTTTTTTCCTGCAACTTTTTGTGATTAAAAACAGAAAATAAAGCAACATTGCCCCCTGCTGGCCATTAGAAAGAATGCACGTTAAAGGCACTTCTTCATTTGCTTCACCTTTCAGAACGCAGACGCTGCGTCCACTTCTTCTAAACAGTTGTTCGATTCACTTCAAACATGTTTTGTCAGGAACAAATCTTGTGTGTTGGTGCGCCCCCTTGAGGTTTCTATGTGTTACTGTGGCTCCCTTTTCAAGTGGCATTCAGCTTCCAAACATTCACAAACATGTTACAACTCTGTGTTTCCGTCCTTTTGATACTGATAATAAACATCCTGTCTCACTCTCAGAGTCAAACATTTTAAATTAGTTTAGTCGATCAATTTTAAAGGAAGCGCTTCAATGCCACATGGAGAGGGAGTAACGCATTTTATTTTTTTTCTGCTTCTTATTGTTTCCTTTTGCTCTCTTCTCCTCATGCAGGCTGGAACAAGGCGTCTCTCTCTGTGGACGCCTCAGAGGAGAACGATGGGTACTCGAGCAGTGAGGACCCCATCACGTCCGAGCCCGAGGACGACGTGGGGAAGAAACTGGTGAGTCTCTCTCTCCGCTTCATTTCACTTTATGTTAAATGTTCCTGACTCTTTAAACCTCTTACTTACTGAACTCCTCCTCCTCGGTGATCTTCGACTGTTCAGGCTCCGGGGAAGTACACGGTGGTGGCGGACTGTGAGAAGGCGGGACCTCAGGAGCTGTCCGTCAAGAGTGGAGACATGGTGCAGCTAATCAGAGAAGGAGAGGAGGGACAGTGGTAAACATCTTCAAAGCTTATGCAGAAAAAAAAAAATGTTCTTAACATTTTCTAATTTGCAAAAACAAGTAGAAGTATACATTTATCAAATCACAGTGTTTTCATTTCTGTGCAGGTTTGTGAAGAACCTCCGCACCAGTAAGGAGGGCTGGGTGGCAGCAGCAAACCTCCTCAGCCTCATCTCAGAGTCCAAGTCGTCGCAGTCGCTCAGCAGCTCAGGTATCTTTATGCACATCTTTCTCTTCCCCTGGAGTCACTAACAACAAGTTCAGAGCTTGAGGAATATTTCTACTGAATTTTCAAAACATACAGATCCTCTCATCCTCGGAGTAAAACTGGGACCATACCCGAACTCCAACAGAAACTGAATTATTAGTCTCATTTTTTGGCCATTTTTAGAAGTCTTACTTGAAGAAACTTTTCCCAAAGGTCATCAAATCAAGCTGGAATTAAATCAAAGCAGAAAGGATGTGTACATTTATAAACTTGTGTGGACTTGTGAAATTTAAAACAGACACATTCAGAGATAAAGGGCCGAATGAAGATCTTAAGTTTGGCTTAAGATTTTGTACCTTTCTGGGATGAATCCAATAAGATGTGTTTGATTTTAGGGAGGGTTACATTTGGGCAAGTCTTTTCCTTTTGCAGAAAAGTGCAACAGAGTGTGATGGTTGCTGTTTGTGTGTTTGTCCTGCAGATGGGAGCGTCTCTGGTAACATCAGCACTTCTTCCAGCTGCAGTGAGACTTACACCAGCTACTCCGACATCAAACCCTGACACCTCCATCCCTCCCTCGACTGAAAATAAAACAAACATTTTCCCCCCCGTGGATTTACAAACCCAGAGAGCTGACCCTGACAGGAGCAGGAGGACGGGGATCATCACATCCACCTTACAGTTTGTCAGAGTCAAGCAGAAAAACCAAAGCTGCCCTCATATCTGTGAATGTTCCCAGTGTTTTAGTTTAGACTGAATCCTCTTATCACCTCCAATGTCCCTCTGCAGCGTTACTCTCCCTTCTCGTTCAAACCATTTCCTGTACTTCACATATTTTGGGATCTTAATTTTAAAACTTAATTTTTGTACTTGTCATTTAGATCCCAACACATGTAAAACAACAGGTTTAAAAATAACACTCTTTAAATCTACGTTAGGTATTTTTTCTGTTCATTCCAGTGACAGAAAATTCAGATTCTTTAAATACCAATGAATACTACTTCCTCAACGAGCACGTTTAAGTCATCCGCCGTGTTTCCTCCTGTCAGGCCCTCCTCACGCCACAGAGAAGCTTCAATAACCCCTCGGATCATGTAGCATTAAATCAGACAGATTGAAAGAGGATCTGCATTAAAAAAAAAAAAAGCGAGCTGTCAGCAGCTTAAAAAACTGTTCAAACCTCAACCTTCTTGAACCTTACAAGTGGACAACATCTCGGCAAAGCAGCAGGTTGTTGTGTGAAACATCCTCTTATTGGCTCTCGTCACTCACACACTGAAAAGTGGCAGCTGGCTGCAAAAAGAAAAATACTTCAGAGTGGTGTCAGTGGATTTAATGCGTCAGTGTTCATCCCATTCATGATAGTTAATTAGCCCCTCCTTTCAGCTTGGTGTGCTGGTGTTACCTGAACATACACTCCACGAGAACGGCAGCTTGGAACAACTTCTAAACCTCCTTTTGTTTTCGCTTAGTGATTTAGCAACTGGTCTCTGATTTGCTCTGGAGTCACCTCAAGCCCAAGAAGTCGTGTGGGCAGGCAGGTGTGACTGCATGCCTGCGTGTGTCACCTGAAATGTCTTTGTGTGTGCGCATTCTTGTGTGTGTGTGTGTGTGTGTGTGTGTGCTGCCGAAGTAACCGAGCAAGATTATGTCCCTGAAGAGCCCGACCAATATTTTTGTTTTACGATACAGCTCAACCAGCCACCTAAACGTAGGAAAAATGTAAACAACAAATTCCGTTACCTGTCGGCCTCTAACTGCACATCTTTTCCAACTGTATTAAAGTAAAACACACTTAATTTATTTTCACATCAGACAGAAAAAAAAGCAGCAAATAGACAAATTTTAGAGCCTTAAAGAAGGTAAGAACTGCTGCTGTGCTTACACCATAAAAAAACAAACAAAGGTGGAGGATTAGAGCCTGAGTGATATTTATCTTGTAGCCCATCACAGGAATATAAGCATCATCATGAGTGCATCCTCGCTCGATTTTATACAATCATGGCAGCACTTTCTGCAGCTCATGTAGTGTGGTGTTTAATTCTGCAGCACCTTTTGCATCGTCATACTGCTGCACAGTCCAAATGCGAAGATATTCCACTTCATTTTAAATTGATGCATTTCTGCCCTCTGTATCCATGTGAGTCAGGCTCTTATCTCTTAGAAGTTACACTGAAGCTAAAAGTTCATTCTCATAAATGTGCATGCTGGATTTCTTTTCGAAAAAGGTCAAGTTTATTGCTGACATGCCTCTGCGCCCCGAAGACAAACGCACATAAATCCAAACCTCTGCATCGTGATCAAGTTTTATGTGACGGCCTCTCCCCTCACCTGTCTTTGCTCTGCGCTGCAGCAACAAAGGCCGTCTTTGTCCTCTCCCTGCGCTCCCAGCCCCGCTCAGGCATGTGACAGTATCTCCACCTCTCTCTCTCTGAGCTAACCGGGCCCTGTCAGACCTTCAAGACATGTTTGCAGTGCACCACCAGCCTGAGAACAATATTTGCTACTTGACACCTCAATGTAGCCGAGTAATCTTCACGGTGGAAGGAAGCTCGATAGCTGTGTTGTAAAAAAGAGGATGTTTATATAGTTTGATAACACAACCAGCTGCTGTGACTCTCTTCTTTATACACACAACTTGTGCTGTTCGGATCACTGAATGACACCTTTTTATTACATGTTTTTTCCACAGTAAACATGTTTTTATACCACAAAATTTCTACTGAATCCAGAAGGCCGCTGTAAAACAGTCTCCTCCTTTTTCCATCTTAAATGTTGAATGTTTGACTCTGTTATGAACTCAGCCCCACCTGTGTATTCCTTGGTTCAGATTGTATTCGTCCACTGGATTTACAAACTAAGTCGAGCTGTGGTTTTGGCCTCTTTGCTGATGTAAAACCAGGGTTTTAATCGAATGTGGGTGTCCCTGTGGAAGGAGAGCGTTGTAGAAAAAATAAGAAACTACTTAACGGGCCTCTTGGTGTCAAACTGTGGCTGGTATTATGTGTCGTAAAATCTGTAAGAATGAGAAATGTGTGTTATCTTTGTACAGATCTTATACCTCACATTGTTTTCCTCCAGCGCATGTATATTGTGAAGAGGATTATGGGGTTTTTGTGAGTCTTCTTGTCTCTCTGTACATCTGCATGTTCTTCAAAGATATCATTTAAAACTCTCACGTTATCGCCCCTGAATGAGATAAGTATTTTTTACCAGGCACTGTTGTAATGTGTGAGAGTTTATTTTTTTTGCCCTCTTGTAAAAGCTGACACGGGCACTAAACTTGTCAGTGTTTTGTCACGATCACATAATATTGAATTATTTGTATTTTCGACTTGAAAGGCCGGAGAAATGAGAAGGGTTACTATATTTTTTAGTTTCTTTTTATGCAGCACATTGCAGCAACCACTGTCTTTATTTTCCTATTGTATCTACTGAGTATGGTGTTGATATAAATATATTATAATGAGACATATCAGTGTATATTTGTACATATGTAATTCTGAATTGTATGTAAAATAAAATGCAGCTTTAATAAAGTCTGAGACAGTTTCCTCTATACGTTTTAGTCTTTTTTTGTGGGAAATAAAATTATTTTATTGCATTTACTGTTTGATTATAACTTGGAACATCATTAAGTAGCTTATTTTTAAAATTCTAAAACCATCTATAGTTTATTTGTTTCATAATTTGGATGAAAAATTAAAGATAATTAATAATGAAATTAATAATATATATAATATAAAATAATAATAATAATATATTATATAATGAATATATAATAGAATATAGAATATAAATGAATACTATAATAATAATAATAATAATTAAAGATTAAAGATATATAGGTAAAGCGTCAATATTTTGAATTATTCATATATATACCCAGAAGTGTAACAATAACCACGTGGTTTCCAAAGTCCAATAAGCTTTGCCCAATTTGGACCGTCATAATTTGACTTGGGGCTCGTTCCAAATCGTTCACTATTCAACCTTCAATCTCTTTCACCCTTACCTATTTCCTCCTACTGTTATACACAAGTAGAAGTGTATACCGTGACATATTTAATATTCAAATCAGATACATTTCATGTAATTGTGTTTGTTTTTAATCGTACATAATATAGTAACACACGAGGAAAGGAGGGTGCAGTGAGGAGATATGACAAAAGGTGAACGACACCCAGCCGTTGCTGGAAAGATACAGATGTGTAAAGCTACCAAGAAGGAGACGGACGGCTAGCGGAAGTGACGCAGTTTGCTGCGTAAAACATTTTTTAGTGTATTACATTTTAATAATGTCGGAATAGGCCGTATTATTGTTTGACTTAATGAGTCCGAGTGGCGTTTCATTTTGTAGTTCAAAAGTGAGTTTGAATTAGACTTTTTTTTTACGAACAAAAAAAAAGTGGAACGTCACACCGGAAGTGCTTACGCAGCGTGTTCTCGCCAGCTTGACATCAAAACTGGAAAGCGACCAGATGGATTTCAGCTCTGCCTTCTTTACAGATTCCTCTGCTTTTAATTGGCATCACAGACATTTTTAATCAACTTTCCTGCTTACTAACAACCCTGGCGTGACACCAGAAGCTGATTCGGGACGGGAGCGCTGTGCTGTGAACCGGGACGGGAGCGTTGAAGACCTTTAAAGACCCCTGAACGTCTCCTCACTGAAGGTTTCTATCACACACTGTCGGACAGCATGCGCTAGTTGTTATCCTAACGGGGAATAAACACTGCCCTTGACAGTGTTTCTAACTTAACTCGGGGCTCATAGGTAGAAATGTTTCAGGCTGCCGTGATTAAAATCTGTCAAACAAAAAGGGAGTTTATCCTGGAGGCGAGAGGAGGGGTGTAGCCTCTTTAAATCACATTGTCTGGGACTGTTTATGAGGCCTTACCTGCTATTTTAATATCGTCTACGTCATGAGCTTTTATTCATCTAAAAATACCATGTGATCTTTCCAGTTTAGCAATATTAATACAGCTTGTGGTTTTTGTTTTAGTTATTTTTCCTGTTTGCTATGTTACTTTAGACGATAAGCGTCAAGCTGGCCGGTTAGGAAAAGTTTAGCTTCCGGTCACGTATTTCAAAATAAGATAAGATAAGATGTACTTTATTCTCTCCAGCACGGACATTTAGGTGTTCCAGCAGCCAGCATACAAACACACAACACACACAACACAACACAACACATATATACAAACACACAACACATATATACAAACACACAACACATATATACAAACACACAACACATATGTACAAACACACAATACAACACATGTATACAAACACACAACACATATATACAAACACACAACACATATGTACAAACACACAATACAACACATGTATACAAACACACAACACATATATACAAACACACAACACATATATACAAACACACAACACATGTATACAAACACACAACACAACACATATATACAAACAACAACACATATACAAACACACAATA